AGAAGTTCGAAAATTATTCAGATATCAAAACTCTCCTGAAACACATCACACACCGACCCCGAAAAAATTGTTAACATCCACGGGGATTACCTTTAGCGTATGTTCTCATTCTCGGAGGATGCCTCTTTCTGCTCCGATAACAAAACTATGCTAAACGATTAGTATAACTACGCTTTCACCACCCAGGCCGTCACTCCCGAAGATGCTCTGATCCATGCTCTGAGGACGAATACTTCCTAATCCTAAGCAATGGTACAAGCACCGCTCCTGGATACGACCATGTTACAAACAAATATCCATAGAAAGCTAAATCCTGCCACTTATGCCTACATAAGGAAAATCTTAAACTACTGCCTCATCAACCAACATTTCCCCGAAGATTTCAAGTCCAAAAAATTCCAAAAAAGAATCATTACTATCTTACCCGTCCAACTATCGTCCTATTTCCCTTCTTCCCGTCGTTGGCAAGATCTTGGAAACACACATCAAATCTACAGAGAGGAGGCTGCAAAAATGTCGAATTCAAGTAAACTCTCCCAAAATCCAATTCGTTGTTGCATTTCTTCCCATTCATGCACCTTCTCCCACTGTAATCATCCAATCCACGGTCATATCTTGCGTAAACATCTGCAAATACTTGGGAATTTCGATAGACAGAAGGTTAAATTTTTCCGACCATGGCATCAAGGTGAAGATGAAAGCGATAAATCGTGCGAAGCAGTTCAGATTCTTAACATACCAGGGACGCGGTAATAAATCATTAAAATGCGTCGCACATATTTCCAAGACCATCTGCAGACTAATAACTTCTTTTTCGTAGAATTTAGGATTTTTTGTTAATAGATAAAGTGCTCTGATATCCTTTAATGCTTTTTTTGTAATCATCGAAATAAAATTTAATTGTGGCATCTTTTAAACCAAAACATTTAACTTTATTCTATTGTATTCTACTGTGACTGGTTTAAAAAATCTAACTTTTTCTTTTTGTTTTTTTTAAGGTTTATAGTGTGTTGAATGAGGGGTTAAAAGGATATTTTTGTATCAAGCTAGATAACTGAGCTATAAACATTATTCATTTATTTAAAGAAAAAATAATTAAATTTAAAATAAAAGCCACTAAAAAAATTGTACTGCAAATCATATTGTAAGTGCAGGAAAATGGAAATATATCGGAGACGGAGACAGTACCACTTTAAAGTACTTAAATCGTGCATAAAAAAGAATGCGAAGGACACGTTGAAAAACGGATGGGTACTAGGTTACGGAACGCAAACAAAAAAAAAACAAAGGTGCTGTAAAAGCGCTACGTTCTACCACGTTCGTTAATCGAACGACTAACGCCTAACCGCAGCATAATTATAGTACTCCCGGGAAAGATAGTTGGTGCAAGTGGCGACAAACGGAAGCAAATGCTGTTGAAGGATATACAGTTCTTGAAGTTATAAAGTCAATCTATAATGATTTCATATCAACATGTTTATTAGAAAGATGTCAGGAGCAGATACGCAAAAAACAACGAGTCACTAAATTCGTTTGTTTAGACATTTGTTCCAAAACACGTGTACTCTGGTGTCACGATTGTAGAAATTGCAATTTTTTTGGCAACTTTTCTGGTGTCAGATGGATTAAAGATGTCTGTCTTCCAATCGTGTTGCCAATTCGCATATATTTTCGGGGGATGTGTGTTTACAGCCTGAACTATGATTCTATCAGGTTGATTCTAAATAAAACGTGATGTACTTAAACTGTTGTGATAAACATGTTTCGTCGGCACTTTCTTGTCTTTTATCGGATACTTTCCATCAAATCCGATATTGTAAGGTGGCTAGGTCGTTATCTTAATCTTCATCAAAAGATGAAAATTCTACGAGAATACCTACTTTGTTTGTACCCAGGATTTTCTTCCTTACAATCTGCTGAGATGTGGACGTCAATGCTTGATTAATAAATTAAGCTTGATAAATTGTGTTTTTCTTTCTTAAATTTCTCAACTTGTCGCTCCAAGCTTCCGTCCATGACTTCTACCTTCCAATTTCTGGACCCAAGTATATCCCTGCTGGCTACTCTAGGTGTTGTTTTTTGCATTCTCCTTCATTCTGATCACATGCCCTTGCCCATTGCAATTTCTGGATCTTAGTCTCTACTGATCTACTTAATAAAGAGCATTGGCTCGTTGTAGTAGCTGTACGGTTCCTGATTATATCTTCCATATATTAAGCCTACAATCCTTAGGATCTTCTTCTCGAAGACGTATATGCTGTTTATTAGTTTTTGAGTTCGCGTCCAGGTCTTACAGCCATACACTGTGTACATAAAGTAAGGAACATTCGATAAAAATTCGAGGGATATTCTTCCAGGAAAAGGCTTGGATATCTATGTTATTTATTTTAACGCTCATGTTTTAAGACAAAATTGACATGTACCAAAATTAAGATACGATCCCTCAGTTGACATTTTCAAACAGAAACCCCCAATTTTTGTTGCAGTTATGGATTTTACGTAAAATTCTAAGTATTTTTCAAGTAGCACATACGGTGTGCTAAATGAAAAATATGAAGACGAAACTATCGCCATGGTGGCTGAAATTAATAACAGCCATTGACCCATGATAAATTTTTTAAAGTTTTAATAACCAGAACCATACATTCAGTATTTGTAAATTCAAACTGACGTAGTTCCTGAGGATGATTTAACCAAAATCGAAACCGGTAGAACTTAAAATGCAAAATAAAATCAATTGAAAAGTGCACAAATTGAGTTTTTATTTTACGAGTACAAGATGGAAAGAAATAATAACAATGAAATCTTACAATTTCGCCAAGAGATGAGAATGACAATCACAAACACCTGGTTTTAGCATCATCCTCGTGGTTCATATACATGGAAGTCACCTACCTACAGATAAACCTATGCGGAATCAAGTGGATTATATTATAATAAAGGCAGATTCAGTTCATCTATCAAGAGAGCTTGTGCATAAGTACTCCGGTGCGGATGTGCCTTCTAACCATATATTACTAGCTGCAGTTCTAAAAGTGTCCTTGGAAAAAAGCATAAAACCAGTCACATACCGAAGAATAGAATTTGCCAAAATCATAGATACGCATATAAATGCAATGTCTCATGCTGTAACCAACATATTAACAAACAAAGTGGGTTACAGAACAACAGATAAAAAACAAAGTTGGATGACAGATGAGATATTAGAGCTAATGAACGAACGAAGATCTTATAAAAACAAAAACGACCCCAATACAAGAACGTACAAAGTACAATCAGATCGAAAATCCGTGCAAGGTTGAAACAAGAATGCGTAGAGATTGAACATTTACAGAATCAACACAATGAGGTTGATACTACGTTACTTTCAAATTACACAATAAGTTAAAAGAAACGTCCGATGTTTTCGGAAAGAGGCGGCATATTAGTCGGCGAAGACGGACAAATAGTATGCATAACTGGTCTAGCTATACCTAGGGAGGAGATAGAAAAAGCAATTCAAAGTTTGAAAAATCATAAAACCGGATGAAATTCAACCGGAAATGTTGAAACTTCTAGATGAAGGTGGCATTGCCACTTTATGTTAAATATGTAACACAGTTTATGATACTGGTTGTTACCCTCAACATTGGCTAGAATCTATCTTTATCCCACTACCTAAAGTAAACAGGGCCAGAACTGTTGATGAATATCGGCTCATCGGCCTTATGAAACCTAAAAATCTTTCTTAAAATAATCCATCAACGTATATATAGAAAATGTGAAAGAGACATGGCTGATTCCCAGTTTGTCGTCAAGAATAGGGACAAGAGAAGCGATAACGGCCGTTAACGTATTAGTTCAGAATTGTTATGAAAAGACATATACTTATGCTTCTTTGATTACGAAAAAGCATTTCACCAAGTAGAACATTACAAACATCATGCAGTTTCTCCAGAACCTGGACATAGACCAGAAGAACATTAGCTTGTATACCTTTATTGGTATAAGACTTGGAATCCTGTTTAATTTCTATTCAGAGGCACTATTTCGAGAAACACTTAATACTTGATTGGTATTAAAGTTAATGGAGTTTTGGTTATCAAGATCCGATACGCCGATGACACGATCTTGATAATAACAAGAGACCCGGAGATGTCGAACTAACAGTCAATGATACATGAATAGAAAGTGTAGACAAATTCAAATAGCCAGGACGTCGTTAATAATTAAAGGCAAGTTAAAAGGGCGATTGGCAGAAAATAAGTGTCTCGGCTCCGAAATGTTCGACAATGGACTGCACAACATGGAGGCTATACTGTATTACAAACGTCCATCGCATACATCCATTACTGGATAAGCATTGCAAGAAGAAGAATTATACATATATTGTATTTGACAAGGTAATCTACAGTCTCGATGCGGCGAATCACAGCCAGTCCGTAATCTACAGTCTCGACGAATCTTATACAACGAATGTTGTGATCTCGGAATACTGTTCTGACTTTAAAAGCCAAGAATAATCCTATAAAAGCCTATCTATAATAGCCTTTCCATTTGGAAAACAATTAGCTATAAAATGAAAATTGAATACAATATAAGGTTGAATGGACAGATTCTCCATTCATGTATGGTTTTCTGTAATAACCTTTTTCTAAAGGCATTCACAAACTACGATTTATTAATTAATAAACTGCAAAGAAGAGGAACGAAATTTGTTAGTTTGATAACTTAAGAATTACGTTAAGTAATCTTAGGCTAAGTATTAAAAAAAATGCAACAATCGCAACCATCATGTTGACTACATTTCAAATATAGATCATATTTATTTGTATTATATAGAAATATATGTATTTTCAATTCTTAGTTTGTTTAATTGGTGTCTATACATATATGATAAGTAGAAATGTTGATATTATAATAACAATGTTTGATCATTATAAAGAAATTTACTTGTTTTTATACTATAATATATGTCTCTTTTTATTATTTTCTTATTTATCTACATATTTTTTTTTTAGATAATGGAGTCACAATTATTACAACGGTTGTACCCGTGGGTGCAGATTCAACCCACATGATATGTCCAAATTGCAACACAGAAATAGAAACGACAACGTTTGAAAAACCAAGAACCATCGCGTACCTCCTGGGTGCTTTCATATGCATATTAGGTTGTTTTTGCGGATGTTGCCTCATACCTTGCTTTATGAAATCGCTACGGGAAACACATCACAGCTGTCCAAATTGCAATCACTACCTAGGACGCTTCCGAACATAAAAAAAATTAAAGAAATAAAATAAATAAGGAAATTTTAATGGGTTATTTGACTTGTTTTTGATGTATTTGTACTAATTTTATACTCTATTACTAATAACTGGAATCTCTAAATCAATCTCAAAAAAAGAAAAGAAATATTGGTGTACTAATCCGTTTTAAGTATTTCTCTCATTCCCTTAACCAAAATAAATATATAAAAAACTTATTTACAAAAACAATGTGAAAAGAAAATATTTTTGTATTAACTTATTCGCTTTATTTTAATGTATACAAATCGCTTTGTTACAGCTATTTACATACATATTGTTGTGCCTTATTCTATTAATAAAAATTGTTTAAAAAAAAAACCCATTGTTTTTTTAATTGTAATTTGTGACCACCGATATATAAAAGTTTGACATTGAGATCGTAGCTAAATTCACAGACGTTTATCGGCAAGTGAATATGAATGCCAACATGGCCAACAGAACGTAGAAAGTGTCAATGTCAGTGACAAATCGCGTATAAAGTTATGCACGTAATGATTAACACAACTGGGTGTTTATCGTAAATTACAGAAAATCCTTCGAAGAATGCGTTCGAATTATAATTTGGACGTGGGTTAGTTAAGTTAGGTTTTTTGTGGGATTATTGCATTTTTTCGGTCAACAATATGGTTTGGATAAGGAAAAAGCAAAAGTATAAAGCGGTAGATAGCATCGCCGATGAAGATGTGGATATTGAAATGCCGAAATTGCCTTATTTTACACCCTCGTGTGTACGTGCAAGTTTAATAACGGGGGCTTTAATTGCTATTTATTTTGCACCATCCATTGGATTAACTTTTTACCAACGTTGGCTTTTACAGGTAATAATAAATTGTTGAGTTTGTTTGTTAAAGAAATAATAAACCATTTGTGGTATGTTTGAAATATAATTAAACTAGGAATGTTTTAATAATAATACTTTAATAAAAAAATATCACAAAAAAACACCATTAGTTTATTAACTTTTATGATAAGGAAAAAGTTTATTTTTAAATATAACCTTCCTGGTTTATTGATTCTTTACTCTGTTGTATATAGTGGGTTAATTCTATAGATAACTAAAAAGGATATAAAGATAACAAAGAGTTTTATTAATTTATAATGAGTTAGATATCAGTAATGATTAAATATTGTTCAAAAAATAATCATTATTCAAAATGTGCGTTTTTAAATGATTAAATCTTGTATATATAAGTTTTATTTTTGGTATAAAACAGATACTTAGAACATCCTGTTATGTTAGAAACTAATTGAAAGATAACAAAACATGTAGAATAGATAAACACAAAGTTAGGTTTTCAAGGATTTTAAACAAACATATGAAACAAATTTATAATGCTGTTTTATGTTTTTGTTTGATTTTTTTTTGTTTTTTTAAACCAAATCAAAATCAAAGAGAAAAGTCAAAATATTAATGTCTTGTTATTTATTATTTTTTATGAATTATCTCTCGTTTTTAGTTCACTCATTTAAGTCATTCAGCTGCTTAAATAAAGTATATGGAACTTCAGGAAACATATGGGATGGGTTTCAAGTTAATTTATAGTGGAGGTGTTGAATTACAAAACTTTATCTCTATGATAAGACATTCTGATACACAATGAAGAGATTTGGAAGAATTTAAATATTTCACATAAATTCCCTATGTTAATGATAACTAGGCATCAAATATGTTAAAGAATTTTATGCTCAGAAATAAGAGGAATGCATTGATGAAGTTACTAGGTACTTGTATCATAACTCATGATGACCTCTTCCCATTCAATGGTTTAGTAAATGTAGCTTTTTAATGATTATTGTTTGGTGTAGCTGACTTGGGTTGCTCTCATTAGTGGCTGCCCAACAACTGTTCTGAGATTTATTTAATATATCAGCACCTTTTTTCACATTTTTTGCGAAATAAGATCTCCACCATGTGTATTTGTTTAAACATTAACAATCCTTAACAATTTCGAGTTTGTGATTTAACATACTTTACCACTGAGGAGCTGATATAGTCTTCAAGTGGCAAAATGTCCTTAGTATTACCACTTGTTTTTCGTACAATAAACTGGTATTTGATGAAGAACATGTTGGAAAAAGATTACCATTTACACAGAATATTGTCATTGGGTTTGTATCTCCAGAGTTTTAGTATCACTCCACCTTTACCAAACAGCATCTTTTTTTAAAAGAAACAAAGAGCTTTATCTCAATATAATAAATAATATTTGAATAATATTTAAAAGCAAGGGCAATGCGCCTAACAAAAAGGTTAAGTATGTACGAAAATGTTATTTAAGCAGCTGCAGAAAATGTACCATAATTTGATATAACATTTTTAATCTGTTTAATCCTGACTAATGAGCAATTCTATTCCAACTTAAATTGCTACTACAAGAACATCTTAAATTAAGGTATACTCTGCAATGTCCTTAATGTCCTGTTATCATTAACTGAAGTATATCTTACTCTAGTCAACACTTTCTTAAACCAACTTAAAAGGTTTAAGTCTTTTGCGTTCTCACTTGCTGTGAATTCTCTAGGAGTTCATGTCTTCTAGCAGAACTTGTGATTATTCGTCCACTTCTTATTCGTCCAATTTTCGATGCAGCTATCATACTTCTTAATACTTTATTTTGGAATCGTTGTATTGTTTTATTGCCCTCTTTGGCACAATTAATTGAAACGAAAAAAAGAACTCTTTGAAGTCCTCAAATTACTCACACTGATATTGTATATAGTTACAGATTAAGTATAATATACATTATACACTATTGTGTAACGATTGAAATAAAGGAACAGTTGTAACAGGTATTTGGAACTATTACTTTTTAGGAACAGGAACATATTGTACCTGTTCCCCAAAAATACTATAGTATCTCTAAGTCCCAACACTTAGAATAGATTTCTTCCTATATTCTATTGGAAAGAATTATTACAGAAAGAATTTCTTGTATTTTTACGAACCTTTAACCCTGATTAATGAGCAATTCTATTCCAACTTAACTTGCTACTATAAGAACTTACTCCACAATGTCCTTAAAGCTAAGTTTCCACATGTATGGATTACTGACTCCAGTACGAAGCCAGTTTAGTGTCGCCAATTAGCTGGCGCCAGAAGTTGCTTCCACATAATGTTATAATTACTGGCACAGTAATAAAAATGGCGTCAAGTGATGTACTTTGCGCTGGCATCAATGTGGTAGTCCAAATGTGCTCCTTGGAACTGCACACGTTATTAACAAAAAAAAAGCGAAAACATAGTTACTGGGTTAGATCGTGGATTGCACATAGAAATAACCTAGGTGCGTCTAGTACTTTAATTAGAGAATTATGCCATGAAAATCAGGAAGAATTTTTTAATCATTTAAGAATGACTGAAGAGTTTCATGTTTTTGTTGAGGCAAGTATCCTCTAAAATACAAAAACAACATATGCATATGAGAGATGCCATTCCAGCTTACGTAAAACTGCAAGCAACTTTAAGATTTTGGCCTCTGGAGATTCTTTTACATTTTTGCAATATATGTATCGTTTGCCAAAACGTGTGAAGTGCTTAATGCTATTTACGAAGCTTTTGTCGAGGTTTCGTCAAAATTAGGAACTGTTTTCTTCATAATTTCAATTATCCTTCTGACAGCATTATTTCCTGCTAGTCGGTCCTTATATTGTGGAATTTTCTGATTCCACAAACAAGGATATTGTTCGTACGTTTCTAGAAATAGTACTGTTTGTTCTGATGTCCATTTTTTGGACGGTTTATTATTTTATTGATTTGTTCATTTTAGTTGCACGAACATGTTAATAGTTACTNAACTTGTGATTATTCGTCCACTTCTTCTTATTCGTCCAATTTTCGATGCAGCTATCATACTTCTTAATACTTTATTTTGGAATCGTTGTATTGTTTTATTGTCCTCTTTGGCACAATTAATTGAAACAAAAAAAATAACTCTCTGAAGTCCTCAAACTATTCACACTGATATTGTATATAGCTACAGATTAAGTATAATATACATTATATACTATTGTATAACGATTGGAATAAAGGAACAGTTGTAACAGGTATTTGGAACTATTACTTTTTAGGAACAGGAACATATTGTACCTGTTCCCCAAAAATACCATAGTATTTTATAACATCTCTGAGTCCCAACACTTAGAATACATTTCTTCCTATTTTATTAGAAAGAATTTTACAGAAAGAATTTGTAATATTTTTACGAACCTTTAATCCTGACTAATGAGCAATTCTATTCCAACTTAAATTGCTACTACAAGAATCTACTCCACAACGTTCTTAAAGCTAAGTTTCCACATGCATGGATTACTGGCGCTAATACGAAGCCAGTTTTGTGTCGCCAATTAGCTGGCTCCAGAAGTTGTTTCCACATAATGTTAAAATTGTGTACTGGCACAGTAATAAAAATGGCGTCAAATGATGTACTTCGCGCTGGCATCAATGTGGTAGTCCAAATGTGCTCCTTGGAACTGCACACATTATTAACAAAAAAAAAGCGAAAACATAGTTACTGGGTTAGATCGTGGATTGCACGTAGAAATAACCTAGATGCGTCTAGTACTTTAATTAGAGAATTATGCCATGAAGATCAGGAAGCATTTTTTAATCATTTAAGAATGACTGAAGACTTTCATGTTTTTGTTGAGGCAAGTATCCTCTAAAATACAAAAACAACATATGCATATGAGAGATTCCATTCCAACTCACGTAAAACTGCAAGCAACTATAAGATTTTTGGCTTCTGGAGATTCTTTCACATCCTTGCAATATACAGGGTGATTCAAAAAACTGCTGACAGACTTCTAGAGTAGATAATACAAGAAAAATTAAGATGAATAGTCTTAATGTACATGGAGTCGGAAATGCCTCGTTGGCGAGATATAGCGGATCAAAGTTTCTTTAAAATTAAACATTATATGCAATAAAAAGCACTTTTAAAAAAATATTGTCTACGCCATTGCTCTCTACGCGTGTAAAATGATCAATTATTTATTAATTGGTTTCTTACATAACTTTGATCAAAGCAATGGTTTTTAAGAAAAACACGTTTGTAGAAAATTTGTTAATTCAATCAAAAACTGTTGCTTAAATCAAAGTTTTGTAAGAGACCAATTGATAGATAATTGATCACTTTACACGAAAATACTGCTCGTTTGACAAAATTAGTAGTGGAGTTGAAAATATTTTTAAAAAAGGGCTTTTTATTGTAGATAATGTTTAATTTTAAAGAAACTTTGATCCGCTATATCTCGTTAAGGAGGCATTTGCGACCCTATGTATATTAAGACTTTTCATCTTAATTTTTGATGTATTACCTGCCATAGAAGTCTGTCAGCGGTTTTTTGAATCACCCTGTATGTATCGTTTACCAAAACGTGTGATGTGTTTGATGCTATTTACGAAGCTTTTCCCGAGATTACGTCAAAATTAGGAACTGTTTTCTTCATAATTTCAATTATCCTGACAGCTTCATTTCGTGCTAGTCGGTCTTTATATTGTGGAATTTTCTGATTCCACAAACAAGGATATTGTTCGTACGTTTCTAGAAATAGTACTGTTTGTTCTGATGTCCATTTTTTGGACGGTTTATTAGCAGATTTGTTCATTTTAGTTGGACGAATACGTTAATATTTACACGTTTTCTTTATAAATACTGTTACTAGCGCCAAAAAGTAGAAGTAGCGTCAACTTTATTGGCGCTATGATTACTGGCACCAATTTATTGGCGCCAGTGGTTTTTTGCTATTTCCACATGCAAATGAAATAGTCAACTGAAATAGTCCAGTCGGCTGGCGCCAGTAATGCGTGCATGTGGAAACTTAGCTTAATGTTATGTTATCATTAACTAAAGTATATGTGACGCGTACACACTGCACCATGCTCTGCTTTCCACTGATTCTAGTCAACACTTTCTTAAACCAACTTAAAAGTTTTAAGTCTTTTGAGTCTTCTCACTTGCAGTTCATGTCTTCTAGCAGAACTTGTGATTATTCGTCCCCTGTTTCTACTTCCAATTTTCGATGCAGCTACCATACTTCTTAATACTTTATTTTGGAATCGTTGTATTGTTTTATTGCTTTCTTTATCACAATTAAATGAAACGAAAAAAATAACACTTTGAAGTCCTCAAACTACTTACACTGATATTGTATATAGTGATATACTGATATAGTATATACTGATATTGTATTAAGTATAATATACATTATATACTATTGTATAACGATTGGAATAAAGGAACAGTTGTAACAAGTATTTGGATGGGGAACAGGAACATATTGTATCTGTTCTCCAAAAATACTAGTTTATAACATCTCTAAGTCCCAACATTTGTTTTGGTAGATAAAACTTAAGTTTGTGTATCAATCTTTTATGCCAGACTTTGTCATATGCCTGGGCCACGTCAAGAAATATTGTAGAGTTCTTTAATCTCTTTGACTGCATATTCTCTTCATCATTCGGAATGAACTTTTCCACTATTACATCGTCTTCTTTATTAACCTGATAGAATTTTCAAAATTACTTGCAAATAGGTTAGCTTTTTATTGGCTACTTTTTGTCCATTTTCCATTTTCAGTTCTTACAATAAGTGTGGAAGTATTTTCCCGTGTAACTACTTGTATGTTGTTTTTGACAAACAGTTCCACTTCTTCATGAAGCTGATGGTTTCTATTTAATGGTACTGTGAGATTACTTTTTTCTTCAAGTGTGGACGAGAGGCCTGGTAAATTAGAATAATTGGAGGATGATTTGAGTCCATATCTCACCCCTCTTTCACTTGTAGGTAGTTTTCGGGGATGTTTTTGACGATGTGGAACTCTATCAACTCTGGCTACTATGTTGGCTTTCTAGTATAAAATACTTCGCATTTGTTGTACCGTTTCATAATTCTTTGCCTTTTGTCGTGATCAATCTTGAACTCAATTCATCAAGTCGCCTGGTCAGCATGGCGATTTAAGGCCATGAAGTTTAGCCTCCCCCGACTTATGTCCAGCAGTGGACAAAATATGTAAAAATACATGTAATGTTGTAGGAGAGAGAGAGAATCTTGAGCTCCAAGATTGACCATGATAAAATTCTTAGCATTAAAGATTATAAATATATCGCCCGGTTTTTTCAGAAATTCCAGTTTTTCTTTTGTCTCCTTTTAATGATGTGCCTTAGTAGGAGGTAAACGGTTGCTACTATACAAAAAGGGAATAGCGATGAAGACGAAAATAAATACATTCAAAGCGTATTAGAAACCTATAGTAACCTTCGCCTGCGAAACATGGTTACTAACGAAAAAATAGAAGAATAAATTGAAGGCTGTAGAAATCAAATATCTAAGAAGAGAAAAGGGAGTTACGAGGAAGGATAAGAATAGGAACACTGAGATACGAAAGGGACGAAATATCAAATATGGAAGTTGGTGTGGTCATCTACAAGGAATGCAAGATACAGGGCAAGTAAAACGTGTATGGCTGCAAGAATGCAAGAAAGTGGAAGGAGGACAAGATCGCGCCAAATTTGGAACAAGGCACTAAATGATATAATTATTAAAAGACGAAAAACTGTACAGGAAGCAACTGTACAGGGTGTCNCTCTATGGCAGTTACGCCCCCTAGCGGTCGAATTACGAACTTCAAAATAATTTCCAGCTATTTCTCTTGCCCACTTTGCTTATAAAGATTTTTTTCCCAAACCTCTAGGCCTTACCGTTGTTGAGATACAGCCGCTCCGTACGCTTAACGGGACACCTGTACATGGTCAAGAATCGCCAGACAACACATAGTGCAATGTAGATTAAGTTAACGCATACACTTTACGATATATTGCGTATTTTGACAGGCAACTTACCTGGTTGCTGGTATAACGAGCGATATGGAATCTGTACGCGCCAGATTTTCACCAATTTGTATTAATTAATATCATAAAAACTAATTAACTAATTTTAATTGCGAGGTATCATTGGATTCGTATTTTGTAACTCTGTTGAAATATCTAAAAAAAAGTACAGAAACTTTTTGATCATCTGTATCAAGATGCGAGATATTAAATTAGAAGAAAACTGTAAAGACAAGAAATTTAGTATACAGAAGAGGAAAATTGGAAAGAGAGAAGACTGAAAAGATAAGAATTAGGCTGGTAACAGAAGAAAGAGATTAAACAATAACTGATTTTTCCAGTAGAAACAAAGAAACTGGATATAGAAGGGAAGACTAGAAAGGCTAAATATTAAGACTGAATTAATATGAGTATTTTTAATGTACCAAGTTTGATATGTGGTGCAGTTTAAATGAAACATATAATACTTAAAATGTAACCAATTTTTTAAATACGCCTTTAAATATTATTGAATTAAACATATTTTTTTAATAAAAGAAGTGTATTAGTTATCTTCACATTATGATAAGATGTAATTTGAACCATTTCCTGTTTTTCCATAAAATATTTTTAGATATTTGTTTGTTTATTTGCAGAAATTTAAATTTCCACTATTTACCGTCCTAATCCATTTGGTGGTAAAATTCTTATTAGCTGCATTATGGAGATCATGCGCGTCATTAAAAAATGACAAACCGAAACTAGTCGTCCCTTTAAAAGACATCTTTACCTCAATAGCCCCGCCGGGATTTTTCAGCGGTATCGACATTGGATTTTCAAATTGGGGACTTGAATTAATAACTATATCTTTGTACGAAAATAAAATAACTTATTTTATTTATTGTATTAAAATAATATTTTTTATAGGTATACAATGACTAAGTCTACTGCAGTTGTCTTCATATTAGGATTTGCAATTCTTTTTAAATTGGAAAAGAAAACTTGCAGCATTTGGTTTATTGTTATCATGATATCTATAGGTCTCAGTTTATTTACTTATAAGTCGACGCAAATTGATGTACTTGGATTTGTTTTGGTATTGGTCGCTTCCATGTGCAGCGGATTAAGATGGACTTGTGTTCAACTATTACTACAAAAATCTAAAATGGGTATGAAAGATCCTGCTGATATGATTTATTATATGCAACCATGGATGTTTCTTAGTGTTTTACCCTTCGCTTTGGCAATTGAAGGTAAATTTATTAATTTCAATATTAATCATTTTTTAATTTGCTGACCATTTTTATTTTTATTTTAGGACCAACGGTTTATGAAAATATAAAAGTGTTTCCAAACCAAGACAATGTTTGGTACCTCCTATTACTAGTTAAAGTTTTAGTTGGTGCTTGTATAGCATTTTTTATGGAAATGAGTGAAGTTTTAGTTGTTACATATACCTCCAGTTTAACTTTATCGATTGCAGGAATTTTCAAGGTATTTATTTTTTTACCCTTGCAACGACAGAAACGAACCTCCCAGCAACAAACTTTTGCTCTTGTTTTTCCATCTACTTTATAAATCTTATACAGTGTGTCTGTAAAGTAGCGGATATAGGCGATAAAATCATTATAAACGGTTTATGGAAAAATCCATAAAGATTTAAACTTTTTGAAATTTTTTGGGGTAGATTTTAAATTTTTTCCGCCATTTTTAAACGAGTTATGACGTCATCGATATTTTTCACATAGCAATCCCCCATTTTTATTACGGAATATGAAAGGATCTTTTTCTGAATTTAGTACAGTCAATATTAATATTGGTTACATAAGAAAATTACTTTAAAGTTTAACTACTTCAAATTTACAAGTTTTAGTAAGTAGTACCTTTTTAATGCAACATATCCTGATCTCCAACGTATTAGCTGAAGTATGGACCCTAGCTGTGACTAAATTTAAAAGGCATGGGAATCTACGAGATTTCTTTAAGTCTGGCCAGCCAAATGTTTCAGAGAAGGTTCAAGAAAACGTGATTTTGGCTGGGCAATAAAATCCTCATCTTACTGTATACCCAATACGCCGTATTGGGTCTAATTTGAATATTAGTAAATTAACGGTTCACAAAATTTAAAAAATCACAAAATATCATTCCTATAAAGTAAACCTCATTCACGACGAAGACTTTATCAGCAACATACTTTTTCTAATGAGGGAACAGAGTGGACAAGTAAATAGACAAAATTGTCGGTATTGAGCTACTCAAAATCCACATTGAGTAGGAAAGTCACGCACCCAATATACGCAAAATATCAATGTGTGCAGCGAAATAGTTACAATTACAAATACTTTTCAAAAAAGGAACTGATTACAATTACAAAGTACATATGTTAAAAAAAGGAATTTTCGTTTTCATCTCTCTAAAAATATAAGACTTCTCAGAATAGACCGGCTCAAACTATTGAAAATTGTTTGTGCCTGTCCATTTTTATCAGAGAACACTGATGACAGCTATCACAAGCACAGAGGGCATACAGGTGTTTCTATAAGTCGTGGCATAAATTTAATCACTAAAACTAGAAACAAAATGATGATGATTCATGTAAAAATTTTTGAAAAAAATAATCTAGAGTTTGATTTTGTACTTTTAAACTGGTTTTTATTCTATATAGAATTTAAATCTAACCAGTTTCGGTCCTTGGCCATCTTCAGAGACTCTACGAATAGATTAACATCTTATCCATTTTACAAACAAGTTTCTTAATATTTCTTTTTGTTTTGTTAAAAAAGATCACATATCAAAGTCGAAATCAGATTATTAGTTACTAATTTACAAAATTAAAGTTTAAACAGTTGTAAAACGAAATTAAGAATGAAGAATGTTACAGGTTAAAATTTAAGAATGCTCTTTTTTAACAAAAGAATTATGATTATAAAATTTAAATACAGGATTTCCTCTTAATTTTTTATTGTTAATACATTTGACGTTTCGAACTATTTAAATAGTTCATCAGAAACCGCTCTAAAAAAATTTTGAATCAACGTCTACAAAATTATCTCCATTACTTAAAACGTTAAACGAAACGAACGTACACGGGTATATATTATCACAAAATCAAAAACAAAACAAAAAGTACCTTTATCGAGTATCCTTATTACTTAATTTATCAATTTCATCGTTCAACTGTATACAGAGTGTATCTGAATGATGTGCCCAAACTTCAGGAGGTGATTCTTTAAGTAATTTTAAGGGTACTTTCTTATATAAAGTATCAGCGATTTCGACTCCCCTACGGAGCTACGCCTCTTCAAAAATGGCGAAAAATTTTGGTTTATTTTTTTTTTCCCGAAAACCATTAACACCAGGAAAATGAAATTTGGGAAATATGTTTAGCTTATAATAGGGCATATTTCGAGCCTATTTGTACTTTCAATCTTCCCTTCTAAGTTACTAAACATAACCACCCCCGTTCAATTTTTGTCTAGATCTTTTTTATGACGATGATAAATACNTACATAAGAAAATTACTTTAAAGTTTAACTACTTCAAATTTACAAGTTTTAGTAAGTAGTTTACCTTTTTAATGCAACATACCCTGATCTCCAACTTATTAGCTGAAGTATGGACCCTAGCTGTGACTAAATTTAAAAAGCATGGGAATCTACGAGATTTCTTTAAGTCTGGCCAGCCAAATGTTTCAGAGAAGGTTCAAGAAAAGGTGATTTTGGCTGGGCAATAAAATCCTCATCTTACAGTATACCCAATACCCCTTATTGGGTTGAATTTGAATATTAGTCAATTAACGATTCACAACATTTTAAAAATCGCAAAATATCATTCCTATAAAGTAAACCTCATTCACGACGAAGACTTTGTCAGCAATATACTTTTTCCAATGAGGGAACATTTACATAGTGGACAAGTAAATAGACAAAATTGTCGGTATTGAGCTACTCAAAATCCACATTTAATAGGAAAGTCACACACCCAATATACGCAAAATATCAATGTGTGCAGCGAAATAGCAGAGCTGGGTAATTACATGTACTTTAAAAATAATTATAATTATAAAGTTCTTTTTCAAAAAAGGAACTAATTACAATTCCAAACTACATATGTTAAAAGAAGGGATTGTATACATTTCATTATAAGTACAATGAAAATGGAGTTATTAATTGGACTGCGTTGCATCACTTAACTAAGCGACAAATGAATAATGTTGAGAAAAACGGGATTTTCGTTTTCATCTCTCTAAAAATATAAGACTTCTCAGAATAGACAGGCTCAAACTATTGAAAATTGTTTGGTGCCTGTCCATTTTTATCAGAGAACACTGATGACAGCTATCACAACCACAGAGAGCATACAGGGTGTTTCTGTAAGTCGTGGCATAAATTTAATCACTAAAACTAGAGACAAAATGATGATTCGTGTAAAAATATTTGAAAAAAATAATCCAGAGTTTGATTTTGTACTTTTAAACTGGTTTTTATTTTATATAGAATTTAAGTCTAACCAGTTTCGGTCCTTGGCCATCTTCAGAGACTCTACGAATAGATTAACATCTTATCCATTTTACAAACAATTTCTTAATATTTCTTTTTGTTTTGTTAAAAAAGATGACATATCAAAGTCGAAATCAGATTATTAGTTACTAATTTACACAATTAAAGTTTAAAAAGTTGTAAAACGAAATTAAGAATGAAGTGTTACAGGTTAAAATTTAAGAACGCTCTTTTTTAACAAAAGAAATATGATTATAAAATTTAAATACAGGAATTTCCTCTTAATTTTTTATTTTTATTGTTAATACATTTGACGTTTCGAACTATTTAAATAGTTCATCAGAAACCGCTCTAAAAAAATTTTAAATCAACGTCGACAAAATTATCTCCATTACGGAAAACGTTAAACGAAACGAACGTACACGGGTATATATTATCACAAAATCAAAAACAAAAAGTACCTTTACCGACTATCCTTATTACTTAATTTATCAATTTCATCGTTCAACTGTATATTTTCCATAATCTTTAAATTTTATATTCCCAAATTACAAAGCAATTGTACGTGCTCGTACGGATCTAGCGACTTTAAGAAAGAAATATCGTGGCGGAAACCAGTTTTTCTTTAACAATGTGCTACACGGAAATCAATACCATTCGATTCAAATTTATAAATTTGAATTTATTAACATCAATATTTATCAGCAAAAATTAAAATGTACATACACATATATATTATAGAGACTATTAAAACATTAATTAACAACAATTCAAATTTTAAACAGACAAAAATTATATCTATATCATATATCTAGTTTGTTTATTATGCCTGCATAATAACTGCCTATATTTCCTGAATCCGATTTAAAATTGACTGACTTATTAATGTTCTTGGTAATGTTCTGGTAAGTTTTAATGTTCTTTCTATTGAACGTATCTCCTTCAGTGGTCAACACTTTAGGCATGTCGAAATTAAATTTATGGCGATTCTTGATTGCGTGTTGGCAGAGAGCCGTCTTATTATTAGTTTTATGTTGATTAACATCGTATTTATGTTGTGTTATACGTTTATGTAAATGTTGTTTGCTTTCACCTATATACAACTTATTACATTCTAATTGGTATATGGTGTTAATTTTGTCAGTCTTGTCTATTTTATCTTTCATATTACTCAAAATATTGGTTAATTTGTTATTGTTATATTGCGCTAACTTGATTTCCTGAAATTCATATTTCTTAAAAATAGCTTTGTGTTCCTTATTTATTACACAATAAGATATATACAACTTGGTACAAAAAAGACATCAGTAGCAATAGAACTCTTCATTATCTGAGTAATCACCCAAGAACTCAGATAATAAATACTATTAATAATTTAATCCGTCGACCTATTATTTTAACTGATGATACATACATGAAAGAAATAAAAGTCAAAATATATAGTATCCTATTAGAAAATGCATACCCAAAAACATTAATTAATAATATTTGGTAAGAGTAAGAGTATGAGTATAAGTACGAAGGCTTTTATGGCTGATATTAATTAAACTAAAACTAGAACTAACACTAGCACTATCACAAGAACCAACATTAGACCTAGAACTAGAATCCTTCGGGTTAACCGTGCGTTTTTTGAAAAAATGTTTGACGTTTCGGATGCCATGTTGCAACCTTCTTCAGAAACAAGTTCGAACTTGTTTTTTTAACGATTTTTTTAATCAATGTGAAATGACCCAAAAAGCACGTTAAAAACGTGTAAAAAAGTTAAAAAAGTGACTAACACTAGATTAACTTCAGTAATAAAACTTTCATTATATGACAAACTAACTTCAGGTTTAAAATGTCAACCTTAATTTTGACATATTTGTAATGTTCATTAAAAATCCTTTAAAATAAGTACAAACACGACATATTTATCTTCAATATTAATGAAGTTATGGTCAACTTCCGGTTAAGAATGTCAACGTTAATTTTGACATTTAAAATCGTCGTGAA